ATTCACTGTTACTCATGTTAATCCAAATGCGCATCTTCTTGTGATGATTTTTTTTCAAAATCGACTTACAAAAACGTTTGAGCAGGCTGTACATATGCACACAGATAGAAAACATTACAATGGTGCCAACGCCGTTGGAATTGGTTTGATTACATAAATCGCATAAAAATAATCGCATAAAAAAGTACCGCAGTGTGTACTGTATATAACATTGTAAAACTTTGAAGATTACTTTCTTAAATGGGTGAGCTATGGAATGGCAGTGTGAAGAGATCTTTTGCCGTTCAGCCAGTACAGTTTTGCAAACTTGAAGCCCAGTTGCTTCCTTTTGATTGCGATGTGCTTCTTCCACGTGAGTACCGATCCAAAAACAAGCCCAAGTATTTGGCATCGTCGGCCAATTGTCGATTTTGTTGTTCAGTGTGATCTGGGGGCAGGTTCCCATTGATGACATCCATCACCTCAACTGGTCGTACGGGTTCTATGGGGAGTGACATCTGGAACGGAACGTCCAAAAATTCACTGATCTCGTCCGATTCGTTAGCGGTTGTCTCATCCGGAAAGGGTTGGAACACGTTCGCAAAGTGTTCCGCGAACACGCTCGCCCTCTCTCTGCTACTCCTCGACCAGCTGTCATCGCTCTTCCGTATCGGTGGAATTCGGGTCTGTGGTCGATTGATGCACCTAGTGGCTTTCCATAGCGAGTAGTCCGTCACAGGTGTTGCGGACAGATTTTCGACGTAGTCTTGGAACTTCTGGTTTCTGTATCTACTCAGCATGTCTTTGAGGTCTTTCGTTGCACTGTTGAGAACGGTTTTATCGATCGGTAGTCTGCTACTCTGCCATATGCGTCGGAGTTTTCGCTTCTCGGCAATCGCTTTCTTAATTGTAAAGAGGCAAGACAGTGTTTCCGCTTTCTGGACTGTTGCAGGTGTTGCTGACCAGGCCGACCTATGGATTAAGCAGTTCAGTTCTTCTATAGCCCGATCGATATCCGTCTCCGTTTTCAGTGGGATTTTTAGTTCAATTTCAGACTCCATCAGCAATCTGAAATGTTCCCAGTCGGTACGGTTGTTGTAGAGAAATGGCGGCGCTTCCCTGCTGAACACCTCAGAATTCAGAATGACGATAACCGGTGAGTGATCTGAGGAGAGGTCCAGACACAATTGGGCCTGCAGATAGTTCCTCGAGATGCCCTTGGTCACGCAGATGTCGAGTACGTCCGGGATCTTACTCACGTCCGACAGCCAGCACGTTGCCTCCCCCGTCGAGATGTGATCCAGTCTGCCGCTGTTCATAGCCTTAAGTAGCTGCCTACCCTGAGGCGTTGCAAGTCTGGATCCCCACTGTTGGTGCTTGGCGTTGTAGTCACCACCTGCTATGAATCTTGGGCCGACAGTGTCGTAGAAGTCCTTAAACTGCTCCTGTCTGATGGAATGTTTCGGCGGGCAATACACTGCGGATATAGTTAGTTGACCATCCCAGTCATCCACGACCACGCTCGTACCTTGCAGGTGTTCGCTGACGTATTTCAGAATTTGGTGTGTTTAAACGTGCGCGGTTCCGTTCGGGTAGTTAGTGCTGTACAGGGTGTATTTGGGAAACGTTACAAAGCTCCTGTCCGTGAGATGCGTCTCCGAAATCATCATCACGTCTACCCTCTGGTTGGCGAGGAAAGCGTTCAGCTCGTCGTTATGCTGAGCTAAACCGTTGGCGTTCCACAGGATCAGGCGAATTGTGTGGGCCATTACATCAACTTCGACACGAGAGTCAACACGACATTCAGCAGCGTGTCGATTTTGTCGAATAGCTATCGTAAGCTCCAGCCTTGCTACTGGGTCCTGTTGTGGTCTGACTTGCTCTTCGCTTGTGGGCTGCGTGTTTTTGCGACTTGTTCTGTCTTTGGCTGCGTCAGCGTAGGAAAAACCTGGTTTTATCGTTAAGTATTCCTTCGGTTGGGACTGCTGAGGCTGAGACGGCGTACTGGTCGGTGGTAACAATTGTTTTCCTTCAATCTCGGGAATTTTCTACTCTGCATTTACTTTTACACTGTACAGCCCTTGTAGTTGGCAGGGTGTTTGCTGCTGCACAGTACACACTTTGCTTCACTTGACTTCTCCTTCCTACACTCCGTGGTAAGGTGGTTCTGGCCGCACTTCACGCAGCGCGGCTTCAGAGTGCAGTAGCCTTTGGTGTGTCTGTACCTCTGGCATCTCACACACTGTGGGATGTCGTATCTGCGGTGCGGCGTCTCTCCCTGAAGACGTCGAAGTCTTCTCACCTCACCTGACTTCCTCTTTATTTTTTTTTTCACAAATATCTCAGTTAACCGTCAAAGACACACTATAAAACTAGGAGCTCTCAAAAATCCAACCGCTCTCGTTCGCGTATCCGATGCGACTCTTATATTATTATTATAATAATCTTTATTAGTCACAATTGTAACCAAAGGGCTATGACCTAAGTCTTTCCGCTCAATGAAACTAATTATTTACAATACATTTTATATTAAAATCATACATGAGATCATACATATATCTCAAAGATATAAAAATAGTTGATGAAATCATTATCAAAAATTAATTAATAAAATTTCACAGTAAATAAATTTATTAATTATCGATTCAATAAATAGAACAAAATATCATCTAGAACCCAATTAATAATTAATATTTCTCGAAATATTTGATACAATTTTGTACCAAAAAAAAATTGAAAACATTGGATAATTTTAAAGTTATAATTGTACACTCAAAAATTCAAACTGTCACCATCAGCAATTTTCATGCATTCACAAATGTAAATTGGATAATTCCATGAAACCGGAATATGTGTTTTATGCTGCAAACGTATGTTGCTTTACGAAAGTACAGTTTCGACAAAATAAAGTAAAAGAAAAGTAATTTCGCTGCGGCACGAAAACCTGGAAGTAGTTCAAGGTAAGACTCTGCACGTCTCGATTATCCGAGCGAATATATTACGATTTATAAATATTGTTATTATATTTTCGCTGCATTTCCGAGAGGCCGACGTTTATTTTATTGCTTTATAATCTTTGCGTCGCACGAAACTGCCGCAAACTTTATATACACACACAAATTACACCGAAACGCAATTTCAATTCAATCCTGTTTACTTTATAAATTATGTATTCAATAGAGAGAGAAACACTATTTCTCTAATTGATTCATCAATTCTGTTTGAAACTATTTTAAAACCGTATAAAAATAAATATCACAAAAAGAGACTTGACAGTGCAATGATCATTTATGTATATTAAAATAATTGTATGTACCTATTTTTTTTTTGCTTCATTAAATTTTAGTTACTTTTGAAATATTTAAACTAATTAATTCTCACTGATCAAAGCCATACTATGTACCTCGCATTGCTGTACTCAATATAAAGTATATCTATAATATTTATTCGACTGAATTCAAACAAAATCAATTGAATCCAGTTAATAAAATCCTACGAATTTTGTTTATATCAATTCGATTTCCATTAATAATTTGAAAACACGATGTCAAAAATAAAATAAAATAATCAACTAAATTAAACTAAAAGGTATTGAAATTGTATTAAAAAAATTATATAATTAAATCCTTTAGATTTAAAAAATGAATGGTATTGAAAAATTTTCATTAATTGACTGGAGCAAAGCAAATTTTGGAAATTACTCAAACAAACACAAACATATTTTTACAACTAATAGTTTATACCTTACAAATTGTTATTATTGCACATTCCATTTTAGTTATTTATCGTGACGGATAATTAGCATAAATTATGATTGTACGACATTTAAAATACGGATTACGCAATTTTCTTTTTGAAATTATAGTCTTTCGCTGTCGCTGTAGATAATTATTTACTTAAATATTATAAATATTTCAATGGAAATAATATTGCACTGCTGCGAAGTATTTTTCGATGCTCCATCATTAATTTGGAAAAGCATAAACAAAATAATATCACGCACGTTTGCATTCACGAGATATTTGCACGTAGTATTAGATCATACAAATTCCAAAGTTTGAAACTATTTACATTTTGATAATATTGGAATGGAAACACAACATTCTAGGGGAAAAATATACGCTTGTAAATTGTACGCAGATTTACTTACAAATATCATAATCAAAAATAAAAAAAAAATATTAATTCTTCGTCACATTGCCGTAATTTCTGTAACAATTTTATTTGTTGTCATTTGATGTAATAAATAATCGATTAATAACATTCAAAACTTAATCGAAGAGTCAATTTACTTACAAGTTTCTTCAGGAAACTTTTCTATATATATTGTACATATATTGATTTTCATGTACATGAAAAAAAAAATGGTAAAAATGCAAACGCTTCGGCCCATTTCCTCCGGCGCTCTATTTACTCCAATTTCGTCGCCTCTTTTCTGCATCTTGCCCCATCGATATATCCATAATCGATGGCAAACTGAATTTCGTCTCGAGTAATCGTATTTGCATAAGCTCCCCCTCCCATTCTTACGCTCCACTATTATTCCCCCAAAAATAACGTGCAATTTTCATAATCGAAAACGCTAACATTTCATGCTTATATCAAAATTGAAGCAAATATATTCATACATAAACATGTAATATTGCAAAAAAAAATCTGTAAACAGTAAACATTAAATTATCTCCATTATCTTCATAGAAAATTATGTACAGAAAAAAATATGATTATTTGTGACAAAGTAATGCTATTATATTAAAAAATCATATACACAAACAAACGAAGATGTTTCCGCATTCATTTTCATAAAAAAAAACCTGCAAAATTACAGAAAGATTATGAAAATGTAAAAATTAAAATCCCGCAAATTATTTAATTTATAAAAATGTTTAACATTAAAATCACACAATTAACTTCAGAAATGCAGAAAAAAATAACATGCAAAAATTTATTATGGATAAATTAACCTTGATTTCTCAAGCTATAATCAATTCGTATGATGAGAAATATCCCATTCATTAATCAATCATTTTTAACAAAATACGTTATTAGCAAATACAAATAATACAGCTTTCGTTTTACGCTCGATGGAATATTCAATTAAATATTCAAGTTAAATGATATTAATGTGGGAAAACATAAATAAACACGGATACGTAGAAATCATTTTGTGCGCATAATCTAGAGAGAAAAAAAACCTGTTTGTTAAATTGAAAAAAAACGCAGGTATAAAAGTCCTTTCTGGGATAATCCGAAATATACACACACAAAAATGTTGCTGTTTGCAAGTACGATTTTGCTCGTTGCGAGCGTCGAATGTGTTCAGTTTCAGATCAGGAACAATTTGCCGGGTCCGATTTGGGTGGGAATTTTAGGTAACAATGGAAAACCTCCCTTGGCGAATGGAGGATTTGTGTTGAATAGGAACCAACAGGTCATTAATTATTGATTTATATTTTGTGAAAGTGATAATTAACGATATTATTTAGAAATCAGTGCATTCGGATGACAGGTGGGCTGGAAGGTTCTGGGCCAGGACGTGGTGCGATCCAAAATCGAAGCACTGTCAAACGGGGGATTGCGGTAACAGATTGGAATGTCGTGGGGCTGGTGGAGCACCACCCGTTACTTTAGCGGAGATCACACTGCGTGGACACGGAGGACAAGATTTCTACGACATCTCTTTGGTGGATGGTTTCAATGTGGTTGCAAAGGTAAATCCATCTTGTATCTAATAAAAATGTGTGGAGAAAATCTGGTGACATTTTTAGATTCAACCGTTGGGAGGTAAAGGAAATTGTCGAACAGTGGGATGCAACTATGATCTGAACAAGAACTGCCCAGCTTCATTGAGGTTGAGAGGATCTTCGGGACATACCATCGCCTGTTACAGCGCTTGCTCCAAGTTCAACACCGACCAGTACTGCTGCAGAGGACGCTACGGAAAACCGCAGACGTGTAAACCTTCTGGTTGGAAGTCTAACTCTGCCACGTACTTCAAATCCCATTGCAAAGACGCCTACTCTTACGCTTACGACGATGCCACTAGCACCTTCACATGCATCTCTTCTGCTTACAGAGTAACCTTTGGATAAACCACCAAAAGCTTAAGATTTAATATTTTTAATGACTTAAGTTTGTATTTTTATTGTTTAATTAATATTATTTTAGTATAAATTTTATAATTATATGAATACTAAAGTTTTTTTCAAGGTTGTAATTAATAAAACAGACAAAATACTATTACTTAGGGACAGAAATACCTATGGTCAATAGCCCTTTGAAGCAGTTGACTTTTTTTGATTTATGATATTTATATTATTGTATTGATTTTTTTTTATTTTGTAATTTTACTATTTCAATAAATATTATTATTATTACTATTACTTAATTTTATCTAATTTTGTAAATTGATATTTGTGTTGCAAATGGGATAAGTTTGAAAAATACAAATGAACATAGATAAATTTTAATATTATCAGACTTTTTAACCATTTTAATGTTACGTAAAACTTTTTTTTATCTAAGTACACAAGTAAATTGCTCGTATATCGCTTAGTTGCAATTTAGTATTTGGACATTTAAAAAAAAAATTAATAAAGATTTGTGGCTTTTTATGATTATATTTATTTATTTTGTAATTGAAAATGTACTTTTTTTCGTTCACATTTAAGTATTGTTCTAACTCTACCGTAACGCAGACTAGGCAGGCGTGTATTTCGTGACACAATTTTCTAATAATTTCATGTTTTTTACTTTCTTATTGAATATTTAAATATTTTATCACTTGAATTTGCATTATAATTTATCTGAAAAATGGTCAACAAGTTACAAAAAATATGAAATGCATTTTGATAATTTAAAAAATATTTCCAATAGATTCTTTCAAATTTAAAAACTAAAATATTGTGTACTTATATAACTAGATGATATCAGATTTAATTATGTAACAAAATGTATTTATTATATGCAGAAGATATAAGTTAACCTTGAAATTGTTTACGTCTATTAAATGTGTTATTAATGAGCAATTAATTATTACTTACTAAAATTATAAGCTTAATTATGATAATAATGTAAATCGATAATCATTCCATATAAATATTAGTTTTAAGATAAAAATTATAATAGTAAATGTTTACTTATTACTATAATCAGGAATTTTGAATGTTTATAAATTCTTTTGCAGAAATATAAAACATTTAATTATCAAATAGATAATTATTGCATATGTTTGTAATAAATATAGCTAAGATAAGAAACGATACAATAAACAAATTAAATTAAAGTGAAAATTTACTCTGATTATAAACAAAACATATTAAAATTAATTATTGAAAATAATATAAATCTGGTTTAATATAATAATTGTCTAAATGTTATATTTGCTTGCATGTTATAAGTAAATTTATGTATAATTAAAGATAATTTAATTTATTACTCATATTTGATATTTATTTGTACAAAAAAAAATATATATTTTAAGTTCTGATGGTTTATCTATTTTCTTATAAATCACAAAAAGAATATTTCGTGATAAAAACGATAAATAAAATATCAAAATAAGATTTTGAAAACAGTGCATCTCATTTACAGAATAAATTAAACTTAAAAAAAATGGATAATTATTGTACAATTTTTTTTATATAGAAACGTTAATGCAAATATCGAATGCAGATTTAGAACATGAAAAAATAATATTTCCAGAAATTATATTAATTATATGAATCGTCCTTGACGTTGTTTTTCTTCGTCGATTCGCATGTCACGGGTCGTGTAATCCAATAACAATTTTTATATGATAAAAATTGCACGTTCACATTTGCGAATTGTTTATGCTGTAATTTATTTCATGAAATTAAAAAGATGAGGGAAACCCGAGAATATCGCGAGATGCCCTGGAAAATCCGCTATTCGTTAAATCCAAAAATCCGGTGACACGACGATACAAGAAGCATACGTATAAATAGGCCGAGCCGTCGTATAATACGACACACATGCAACATGAAAATGTTATTCGCAGTTGTTGCTATCTTGCTCGTCGCGAGCGTCCAAAGTGTAGAATTTCAAATCAAGAATAATTTGCCCGGTCCAATTTGGGTGGGAATTTTGGGTAACAATGGAAAACCTCCACTGGCAAACGGTGGATTTGTGCTGAACCAGAACGAACAGGTAAATATTGTTGGTTAAATTTGATTAGTTCAGTTTATCAGGTCTGCTGGGTTTATGTAGAAATCCGTGCATTCCGATGAGAGATGGGCTGGGAGGTTTTGGGCCAGGACCTGGTGCAACCCGAATTCGAGGCATTGCGAGACTGGGGATTGCGGTAACAGACTGGAGTGCAACGGGGCCGGAGGTGTGCCTCCTGTGACGTTGGCGGAGATCACTCTGCGTGGTCACGAAGGACAAGATTTCTACGACATCTCTTTGGTGGATGGGTTCAACGTAGTTGCAAAGGTAAATGCCGAAGATGTCAATTGATGCAATTTACTGAAATATCATTATGTTCTTGTAGATCCAACCTCTGGGAGGCCGAGGAAGTTGCAGGACGGTCGGATGTAATCGCGACTTGAACCCTAACTGCCCGGGTCCGCTGAGGCTAACAGGTTCTGCAGGCTACACCATCGCCTGTTACAGTGCCTGCTCCAAGTTCAATACAGACCAGTACTGCTGCAGAGGACAGTTCGGACAACCGCAGTCCTGCAATCCTGCAACCTGGCAATCCAATTCCGCCTCGTACTTCAAATCCAACTGCCCTGACGCTTACTCCTACGCCTACGACGATGCTACAAGCACCTTCACCTGCGTCGCAAATGCTTACAGAGTCACCTTTGGTTAAACAACCGAAAACATATGACTTAATACTTTCCAATAAACATTTTTTTTAAGTGTAGATAAACTATCAAAATTCAAGATGAATATTTTTTTAGCACAATAAATAACAAAATGAGTAATAAAATAAATTATTTTTATTTAAACATAAATTTCCATATTACATTTAAGTATAATATTTAAACAACTTATATGAAATCGCATTTAAATAATTTTCAAGAAGCAATTTTATTAATTTTTGGTTACAGTAATTTTCTATTACTTTATTTTTCTTATATATTATTTTAAATCAATTATACAAACTCCAGTAAAACAAATTCAATTTGTGAATTCGTGAGCCAATAACTTAAAAGTTTTTGTAAATTAATAAAAAAAAATCGAGCATTTTCAGATTATTATAATTAAAAAATAAAAATGTAATAAATAAGAAACAAATAAAATACAATAAATAAAATATACTTTATATATTTAAATTGTTTTTTATTTATTTTTTTAAATACAAAATGTCATCTCGAAAATGATTTTAAATAAGTTTCTATCAATAGATTCATAAATATATGTCATTAATCTCGAGTGTGGCGAGTAGAGAAGTCTTCGTTACAGTCCTGGCATCTACAGCTATCCAATTCTAACTACCAATTGTACTGCTGCCTTATTTCACTCTCAAGCGGCCAGTGAGGCTCCCTTCACCCCAGAAGTTTCCTGAATGAGTGCATGTCCTGGACATTTGAATACAATGTTATTTGATCAGGTGTGGTTGCTCAAGCACTCCAGGCAATAGTTTTTTTTTGTTGCGCTCCAACGCATAGACAATGGGTTCTTATACTGCGACACGAAACTAGAGATGTGTTTATTTGAATATTACTAAATTATCGAAATATTAATCTATTTACAAAAATGAAAAAAAAATATGAATAACAAATTATCAATTAAAATGTTATCATCTCATGGTAGAGTATAAAAACACCAGTACTATTGAAATATCGATGTATAAATGAAAATGTTATTATTTACAACCACAGTTTTGCTCATTGTGAACGTCGGATGTATAGACTTTCGGATTAAAAATAATCTTCCAGATACCATCTGGGTGGGAATTCTAGGTTATGCTGGTCACCCACATTTGACAAACGGTGGTTTCGAATTGAAATCAAACGAAGAGGTAATCACATTTCTAATTTAATAATGATAATAATATTTATTAGTCACAAAGCGACCAAAAGACCAAATTTCTCAAAATAATAGTTTGCTTTTATTTTTAGAGAATACTGCAATCGGATGAAAAATGGAGCGGGGAATTCTGGGCTCGAACTGGATGCAATCCAATAACCAAGATTTGCAAAACAGGGCATTGTGATAATAAATTGGAGTGTCAAGGTAATGATGCTGTTGGACCCGCAACTTATGCAAAGATCCATCTACGCGAAAACGAAGGAAAAGATAAGTACAGCGTCTCCCTTATAGATGGATTCAACGTGATAACTAAAGTAACTATTATATTTCTATGTTAATCCAGATATTTAAATGATCATTTTAAGATTGAACCTATTGCAAGTAAAGGAAATTGTCGAAGCACAGGTTGCAGTTTCGATTTGAACAAGTATTGCCCTTCTTCTTTGAGGCTAGAAGGATCTGCCGGACAAACTGTCGGATGTTACAGTTCTCGCTCCAAGTTGGATATTGACCAATTCATGTGTGAAGAACAAGAAAGACGTCCTCACACTTGCGACTCGGGCACCTGGATTGCGAATTCCGCGTCCTACTTTAAATCGCATTGCCCTAACGTCGTTAGCTATAACTACGATGAAATCAACAACACCTTCACCTGTATCGCTTCAGTTTACCAAATTACCTTTGGATAATTGCTAAATATTAATTATAATTTAAAAAAAAAACTAATATAGTACATTCCTTGTTAATAAAACGTCTATTGAAACTACCAAATCAGCACAAATAATGTTAATAATTATGCATATCGATTTTTAACCTTGACCTCCAAAGTTCGCGATTCCATTTTGGAAAAACACACAATAACAGTAAACAAATATTTTACATAAAATTGCTTATATCTATATTTATCGGTTACAATTTTTCTACAGTTTAATCTTTTTTTAAGTTTATCTATTTCCAATAACAGAATTTGATTAATTTACTGTATATTTTCATCATATTTTTTTTATAAGGCATTTACTTATTTATCAATTGTTATATTTTTCTACAACAAAATTCTTATTCTAAATAAAAAAAAAACATTCCGTATTTTAAACAAAGTATTAATATTTACTGCTTTGTATTTATTTTCATATAAAATTATTAAAATAAAAATAAATTTCAATCAAAATTAACTAAGTCTAGTTAATTAAACTAAATCTATTTCTTTCTTTTCAAAAATTTTATTGAATAATTTCGGAAATCTAAAAATTTTAACTTTCAATTTCTCGAACTATTTACAACAAAATTTTGGGAATAAATTTAATTTAATTAAATGTGATTTAAATGTTCCGGTTTCGACGGCTGTTATCGACGCTTTCCATTCTAACACGTTGACATAATGACATATTTGTGTCACGTGTGTGGACTGCGACACACATTTGTAACATAATAATTTATGATTTATATGTACATACATGCATTCAACGTATTCTACATAATATACATCATTGATTATACAATTTTCTATCGGTAAATATCGAATACAATTTAAATCTATAATAAACCGATAATTGCGCCCTTTGTTGCATTCGGATGTCAAATTTCACGTGATGTTTTCAGTACAATTTTCGATGTATTTACTGTAAAAAATTATGTTTTCCATTGATTGTTCGAAAAATAAATAACACGAGAGTGTAATTAACATTCAAATAATAACAAAGTTATTTTTTGGTGTATTCTGATATTAATATTTCGAAAAAAAAAAAAGGATCGCTAGTAAACAAATGACGTGTCATTTCCAATTATTTCCATATGCAGAATCGTGGAGAAACAGTGGAGAGTAGGCAGGTTACGTACGTACGTATATACATATATATACAGTCACGTACACTGTAAGTGATGAATAGTTGCATTTAAAGGAAAGGTGGAAAACTTGAAATTCAACCATCATTTTCAGCCGCTACATTAGTAGAGAGCTTTCCCGAGCTTTCCTCCACCTTTGCAACCAGCCACTCTTCACCATCCCAAACGTCGTAAAACTTTACCGTTTTCGCTTTCTTTTTCTTTAACTCCACCTCCCTTCATGTTTTCATATACATTTTTGCTTTTTGCAGAATTCTAATATTCCTTGTGAAATATTACGATATTTTTATTTCGTTTCTCAACGATTTATCATCTAATAATTTAACTAAACTTGTACTTTGAGGCATCTTCAGCAGACAATCTTATCTCTCGATTAACGTAGACAAATTTAGATATCTTCAAGTATTGTGTTTATTGTTTCAAAATAGTCTTACGCTAAAAAATACTTATTTTATAAGGTAAACAATAAAATTGTATATCTACAGTTTAGAAAATAATTATACGACGAATTAAAATATTAAATTACCTTGAAATCTTTGTATATCAAATAATAAGTTTTTAAAGCAAATAAAAGCATTCCGTTGACGTTCCCGAATTACTGCGCAGAAAAATCTATAGTCAGTAGCCCTTTGCACCAAATCAATTTAGTTTTATTGATTAATTGTCATTTGTAAGAAAAATTTAAATTTATAATTTTAAATTATGAATAGCTAAAGTATGAAATTTCGAAAATTGTATGCGCTATGGTAAATATTCACTTAAAAACGAGTTTGTTTAAGCAATAATAAAATTAAATTTTTATTACTTTAAATGTTAGTTATTTCAAAACAAACAAGTATAGTGATATATACTATCGGGAATACTTTAAAACAATTGCCATAATTTCTGAAAAGGTAACATTAAGTAAATATTTTTTAGTATAATATACGATAATTAAAAAATGCGAATGACAAATTCTTCAAGTAAAAATTCCATCGCTCAAGTATAAAAAAGCATCGACGTTTCCAGTCATCTTTATAAGAAAGTGAACAACATGCATTCGGTTTTTGTAATTTGCGTACTCCTCGTTGGAGCAATCCACGCGGTCCAATTTAAAATCAAGAACGTCATGGGTGGTGACACCTGGATCGGAATCTTGTCCAGCAACAATCAACCGCCTTTGGAGGGAGGTGGATTTGTTCTTGGAGCTCAACAGGAGGTAACTCAATTTAAACTTATTTATTTAATTAGGGCTTAAAACTAAAACCGACCTTTGAATATTTTTTTGTTCAGTATTTCCAAAAACTGGACCACAATTATAACTTGCAGTTTTCAATTTTCAGTGCTTACAAAAACTTTTTAAAACACAACTCAAATATAATAATTTGTCCAGCATTTTTATTTTCGGTCTTTTCAAAAATTTCATTATTTTTAAAAACAAATTAGTATTTATAAATGATTATTCTTTTGTGCTAGAAAACAGTGAATGCTCCTGATAATTGGGAAGGAAGAATATGGGCGAGGACCTGGTGTAACTCCGGTAACCAGCACTGCGAAACAGGCGATTGCGGCAACAAATTGCAGTGCGGAAACAGTGGTGGAGTTCCACCTGCAACCTTGGCCGAATTCAAATTGAGAGCGCATGATGATGGCAAAGACTACTACGATATCTCTTTGGTCGACGGTTTCAACGTCGGCGTCAAAGTAATTTCAAATTGCAAGAAATTTTATTTGATGTTAACTTTTTTTTATATTAACACAGATCGAACCTGAAAATGGAAACGGAGATTGCAATGTTCTTCATTGTCCGAATACTTTGAACAACAACTGCCCCAACGAGTTGAAGAAGAGCGGAAGTGGAGGAACCGTAGGATGCGATAGTTCTTGCGTGAAGTACAATACGGACGAGTATTGCTGCAGAGGATCCTTTAATAGCGCACAAGCTTGTGATCCTAACAAATGGAAGCTTAATTCAGCGAAGTTCTTCAAGGACAATTGTCCAGATGCATACAGCTACGCCTACGATGATAAAACCAGCTTGAAGACTTGCATTGCCAACAGTTATAGAATCACATTCGGATGAGAATTTTTACATTAAAAACACTATTAACCTTTTATTTTTAAATTAATTAATTGATTATTAGATGTAGTGCAAATTATATAACATGAGCACCAACTGTTACTTATTTTTACCTATAACCTATACGAAATTAATTAAATTTCCGTAATTTATTGAGTCTTCAAAGTGAAAAATTCATATAAATTTAACAACAATTATTACCTTCTTAGAAACACCTACAAAAGCAGCTACAATGGTAAATCCTTTAACATCTTTTTAAGCTCAGCATTATCGAAAATAATTTCAATTATAAAAAAAAATACAAATCATTCTAACTGAGAAATACTTGAAATTATACAAATACAATCTATTATTTTTATAAATAATATACCAAAAAAGGTTTATGTAAATTCAGAAGAATAAAACGAAATTCCAAATTTATTTTTCAAATTGCAACTATCAAAATGTAATAAGAAATAAACAAACATAATAATGATATGAACAACAAATGATAAGTTTTTGTAAACACTTTAAAGATTAAAGAAATTACACAAAATTGTTGTAATTGAACTGTAATTAAAACAGATAATTGTACACAGACAAGGACACTTGTCAAAAATACATTAATAGTAAACAATGTGTACGACGATAATGCCTTATCGAAGTAAACACCTTAAAGTACAACATATTTAAGACAACATATTAAGAAAGGTGTATTAAACGTTGTCATAAGGAGACATCATCTGATATTCATGAAATTTCTCGTATGTGCCAATATAAGTATACCACACAAAGTAGAATACAATGTTCCATCAACATATTAAAAAACGTTACTCTTGTTTGTCTATTGGTTTGGTAACTTGATTTCGATTAGTAGGGTTTGATTAATGTTTAGTTCTCAAAAAAAACATCATAGATACCCTTATGTATACATAGATTGATCAAAAATAGTTTACTTTTAAAATACCTGAGTATACAATAATTGTGAATTTGTTACAAATTCTAAATTTATTTCGTTTAAGATTTAAGAATATTTAAAAACATGATGTATTACAATTATATAATTTATTAAATATAATTCTATACAGGAGTATCGTATTATTAGACTTTGATTTCAGCAATGAGCTTATATATATATATTCGAGATATTCTTGTAAGTCTTTAAAAAATAATACAATATTTATATAAATTTGTTTCAGTTTTTCATAATGCATTTGATAATGCATTTAAAAATACTAAATATTTAGACTAAATGGTCTAAAACAAACTTTACTTTTAATTCCGGAATGCAGGATATCCATAGTAAAGTTTACAGAACTGTATGCAAATACAAAATAGTTAATTTTCTTTTACGTTTTTCCTTTTAGAAAAACTAACAGATATGAAAAAGAAAATGTTTCTATGAATTAAGAAGTTCGTTAATTTAATGTAACCTGCATTAAGTTACAAATTTATATATACGATAGATTTAAAACCAAAAATTGTTTAGATTTTCATTAAATTATTGTGTACGTTCGTGAATAACGGATTACCGATTCTCCGAGACGAATTGCACATTGACATGTGTATGCGGACAAAAAGCATATTAAAATTAAAAACAACATAATTTTGGGAATGCTGAAAGTTTCAAACTAAAAAAACGAATCGAAATTTTAGTGCGCTTCGGAATTCAAATATTTTTCTTTCCATTCCAATCTAATCGCTGCGAATGAATGAGAAATAGAGAGAGATGAAGAGAAAGACATAACCTATGCGAGAAAAGTGATGAAAAGGAAGAAAAAGAATTATCTTTGGCGTCACAGAAGACGGTTTCAATGTGATTGGACAAATCGAATCAGGAATTTGCAATCACGGAGGACCCACCTCATCACTCAAATACCATTAGGGCGAGAGTTAAGGGTGAGAGAGAAAAAATCGAGAGGAATCGACATCTGGGGTTACCCGCTACAAGAAATTTGCATACGTGATTTGATTTTTGTCCACCAAAATTCTAACACTACCAATCGTTTTTCTTTTCTCATTTTCAATAATAAACTAATAATCCATAAGCATTGTATTAAATCAATTTCAAATAATGGTAAAAATTACTAAAACTACATGCATGTTTTATAAATAAGCGAATTCTGATTAATTGAAAGACGTTAAACGTTGAATTAAACGCAATAATTTAAAAAACCGTAATCACAATAATGATAAGTTTTTAAAAACACTTTAAAGATTAAAGAATTTACATAAAAATGTTGTCATTGAAAACTGTAATTTAAACTGATAATTGTACACACGCGAGGGCACTTATCAATAAGCACATAAATAATAAACAATGTGCATATTAAAAAATGCTGTAACACGACGGGCACTAAAGAAAATTAACAAAATCTTCCACGCCCGGCTGGGCGTGAGTCCCTGACATGGTAAGGTTCTGGACGCCACTTCCTTTTGTTGAGAGGGAGAACCGAAACTTTCTGTTCTCATCCGAGCAGCAAACTTCTTGCAATGCGTTATCGAAGTAAACACCTCAAAGTGCAAAATAATTATTTAAATATTCCCTAAAACAATTTCGATGATTATTATTCGGGATTTCGATTAGTAGGCTTTGATTAAAGTATCATTTAAAAAAAAATATCATTATTTATTTCCACACAGATTAAACCAAAATTGTTTTTTTAACAAAATTAACTCAATTATATTAATTTTATCACCAGTTCTAAATTTATTTCATTTTTCGTTTTAAAAGATATAAAAATATTGCAAAAACTACATGTGTGGAGTAGATAAATAAGCGAATTGCTTAAATAAAAAACAAAGTATCAAAAAAGAAACACTACTAGTTGTTGGTTTCTTTCTATTGAGTTTATATAAATTCTCATTTGTATTTCGTATAACATGATCCATGTATTTGAAATTATCAAATTAATAATAAATAAGTAAATAAAATAGAATAATTGTAACAAATACTGCATAAGCAGATGCACATTTTCATTAAATTTGTCATCTAGCATTTGTTACGTGGGTTTACATTAAACATCCCTTTTAACGTTGGCAAAAGTGGGAGAGGACGGATTACAAAGACTCAGGACGTGGGACGATGATGATGAGGAGAACCGGTTTTTGATGTGGGTAGTCGTACGTGTATATGTGTGTGGCTGTGAGTAATCATCATTCATATCGCATTCACAAGCTAAATTGCGTTATATACATATATATCTATACGTATACGTGAATGAATGTGTATGTTTGTGTATTGTGGCAGGACAACGGAGAGTCATTACATCTTCATGTACCTTAATGGATGTGTACTGCGCTTTCCAACATTTGATTCGATTAAGCTACTTGGATCACTCTCTCAGTCCTTCCCCTCCCTTTATTATGCATTCGGAACTTTCGGACGGGATGTAGAGTCCAGATCGATTATTCATCCAGTGGCTTACACCGTTATTAACTACTCGTTCGAACCAATCTTCCCTTCGAACGTAAAACTACAGATAATAATATAGAAATTGATGACAATGGCATAAAAGAAGAATGCAAGACTAAAGTTTTTTATAGAATAAAAATCTACTTCTACATACCTCTATTATCATACCTCGATATTAGAATATTTCAGGTAAAAAATGAAGAAAAATACACCGATTTATATCCATTAGAATCGGGGGGTTCTGCAGGGAAGTGTTTTAGGACCACTGCTTTACCACCACTTTACACGGCAGATATTCCTAAAACTAGCATTACTATGATTGCAACTTTCGTTGATGATACAGCAATCTTGGCATCAGATGAGAATGCAGCAGTTGCATCTGAATATCTACAGGAAAATTTAGATAAGCTACAAGAATGGCTTAAAGCCAGAAATGGAGAATATCAGTTAACGAAATGATAGACACCCAACTGTAAGGCTTAATGGACAAGATCTGCCCAAAGCAACATCTCGACAGAAGACTCACCTGGAAATATCATATTCAGGCTAAGAGGGAGCAATTAGAAACAAAGTTTAGAAAACTCAACTGGCTTCTAGGGAAAAGGTCGTAATTATCAGTGGAAAACACATTACTTATATACAAATACTGCCGGTTAATCGATCATACAAATTATACAAAGGTTCCAATCAAAATACCTAACCATATAGACATGGTCGAGGATGCAATACCAACATTTAAGTAGATACCAAGATAGACTGGAATTACATACTAATGTTCTGGCTATTAGTCTACTCGACAACAGTAAAACCACAAACACGCTGAAGCGTTGCAAAACACTAAATTTAGTATATTGATTTAAGTAATTTATTATGTTCAAAATCATCATAATGGTAACTATCCACCGGGAAAGCTTATCCATTTAATGTCAATTTTAAATTTACAGATTGCGAATTAACTTTCATAAATAATTACTTTCTTTTTATCGATATTTGTTTTCTTATGTTAGATTACGCTAATTTTAAATATTAAATAATTAATTCAATAATTATTATTAATGTAATTAATTGAATAAATTATTTACAAATATCGATTGAATACTAACGTTTTTTGTATCAATGATTGCATACAATAAGTTTATGTAATCTAAGATAAATATTGATAACTGATAAAGTTTCCTGTTGAAGTCCAACTTTAGTCAATTCTTTTTAAATCCAGTTGAGTATTGGAAGATATTCGAAGGATCTTGAGAAGGAAACGTATTTGGGAAAAGTGTCAGCTGCCGACAAAGGTGTAACGGGTGGCTGGTTATTTACACGTGCCGTGTTAATACATAATGTAAATGTGCAGACCTTGCACACATGTACACGACCTTACGTGACGGTTCGTCCTAATCCACGAAATTGTTTTCATCCTCCACAAATATACATACTCATTTCAATTATGCACGCTCACACAGTGCACGTTTTTTTTTTCCACAATATATGTCTTTCTATTCTATTATTTGGTCGCTAGTAACGCGGAAAATGTACGGAAAGGATCGATCCTCTTCCGCATCCGACCACTTCCTCCAGGGAAATATCAATTTTTCAATGGAGAAAGATATTAAAACTAAGAGCACAATTTGGAACCGTCCAATAAAATGGACAAGTCGCTTCTTTATCTTTATATTTTC